GCCCAGGCAACCACATCCCTCCATGGGTCCAGGTCTGATGATGCTTAGCTCACCTTAATCTTCATCGTGCTGGGAGCCAGAGCAGTGATCTCCTTCTGCATCCTATCTGCAATGCCGGGGTACATGGTAGTCCCACCAGACAACACTGTGTTGGCATAGAGGTCCTTACGGATGTCAACATCACACTTCATGATGGAATTGAAGGTGGTTTCGTGGATACCACAGGATTCCATACCTAAGGGGAGAGAGAAGACAGACTTAAATTTCTGTGTGGCCCCAAAACTCACCTTAGGATGGGGAAGAGACAAAGCCACGTTAACTCACCCAGAAAGGAAGGCTGGAAGAGGGCTTCGGGGCAGCGGAAGCGCTCATTGCCAATAGTGATGACCTGGCCATCAGGCAGCTCATAGCTCTTCTCCAGGGAGGAGGAAGATGCAGCGGTGGCCATCTCTTGCTCGAAGTCCAGGGCAACATAGCACAGCTTCTCCTTGATGTCACGCACAATTTCCCGCTCAGCTGTGGTGGTGAAGCTATAGCCACGCTCCGTAAGAATCTTCATGAGGTAGTCTGTCAGGTCCCGGCCAGCCAGGTCCAGACGCAGGATGGCATGGGGGAGAGCGTAGCCCTCATAGATGGGCACAGTGTGGGTGACCCCGTCGCCGGAGTCCATCACGATGCCAGTGGTACGGCCAGAGGCATACAGAGACAGCACAGCCTGGATGGCTACGTACATGGCTGGGGTGTTGAAGGTCTCAAACATTATCTGTAAGAAATGGGACTCTGTCAAGCTCCTAAAGCCACCAGGGACAGTCAGCAGATTAAGGACATGCAAAAAAAAAAAAATAAATAAGAGTGCAAGAACACAACTAAATTCAAAGTGTGCTGGGAGTCTTAGAACAGAGACTCTGTTTAGACCTACTGTGCACCTACTAAATACACACTCCAAGGCCACTTATCAACAGCCTCGTTAGCTTTGTCACAAGCCAGTATTAGTACCTACACCCACAGCACTGTATGCTCTCAAAACACCTAGTCAGAAAAGCACAGAAAAAAAAAAGACCTCATCTGGGAAAAAGCAGAAACTGCAAAGCTCCAAAGGAGACTCAGCTCAGAGAAGAAAGTCCTATGGGAGAACGGCAGAAGAAAGACAAGTGAGAAAAGGACGTGGTCGAGAGGAAGGAGCTGGGGGAAAGATGAAGGGGGCCGCTGTGGCTGCTGACCTGGGTCATCTTTTCACGGTTGGCCTTGGGGTTCAGAGGGGCCTCGGTGAGCAGCACCGGGTGCTCCTCGGGGGCCACACGCAGCTCGTTGTAGAAAGTGTGGTGCCAGATCTTCTCCATGTCGTCCCAGTTGGTGACAATGCCATGCTCGATGGGGTACTTCAGGGTCAGGATGCCTCTCTTGCTCTGGGCCTCATCGCCCACGTAGGAGTCCTTCTGGCCCATGCCCACCATAACGCCCTGCAAGAGGGAGGCAGTTATCTCAGTACGGGCATTGCTATCCTCCCCAGGGAAGTCCCCAGAACTCCATTCGTAAAGGACAAGAAGGTCCCTGCGGCTGGCCACCTACCTGGTGCCGCGGGCGGCCCACGATGGATGGGAAAACGGCACGTGGAGCATCGTCGCCTGCGAAGCCGGCTTTGCACATGCCGGAGCCATTGTCGACCACGAGCGCAGCGATATCGTCATCCATGGCGAACTACCGTGGATACAAAGAACGACGCGATGAGAGGTGGGGTCGCCAAGCGCGGCAGCCCCCGCCCTGCTCACTTCCGGCGCGTCGCGGCCTTAGGCCGCCAGGGGGCGCGCGCCCAAACACCGAGGACAAAGGAAGCCCAGGGCTGGTCGCGATATTACCATAAAAGGCAAACGCTGGTCCGGAGGCGGCCCCGCGGCGCCCGGCAGGAAGCCAGGCCCCCGCCTCCTCCCTACTCCAGCATAGGCCCCTCCCCCGCCCCGTTCAAATTGAGCACGGCGGGCGTCAGGCTAATGCGCGCGCGCGGGAGGCGGTCACACCCAGCTAGACGCGCGCACATGCGCGCCAATGCTGCTGCGGCCCCACCCCTTCCGGCCAGCGGCCCCGCCCTTGTCCCGTCTCCAAGCCTCTGCGCCCCAGGTCTCATTACGCACGCGCAGTCCTGTAACTCAGAGCGCCCCCCGACCTCCCCTGTACGCACACGCTCCAGTGTACAGAACGCCTAACGCGCACGCGCACTAGAGCCTGGGCGCTCCTGCACGCACGCGCAGTGGCATACCAGCCCCCACCCGGCCAAGCCAGCCCCGCCGCGTCCGGCGGGCAGAGCCGATCGAATAAGCCGGTTCGGACAAAGACCTATGGACTATCAAGGGTCGATTGTAGCGCCTGTATCCCCACACTGTGTGTCTCCTGGGTGGGAAGAAGTTGAAGTTCTCCACCCACGAGCCGAGCTGGCTTTCCAAGCGCCCACACCGCGACCCGAGAGGGTCCCCAAGTCGCGTGCGCTGCAGCGGACAAGGTTCCACGAGTGTCTACACCGTGGCAACGCGGGTGCAAAGGTCCACATCCTGGACCGGATACCTGGCTATACAAATGTCCATCCCCCGCACCCCACGCGTCCCGATGGCTGTTGTGAGTGTCCGCCGCAGCTCTGCAGCGACGATGTGGCCGATCGCTGGAGCCCGGGGGCTGCTGGACCCGGCGGCCCTGGCTTACCTGGGTGGCGGGTGTGGACCGGTAGAGGAGCAGATGCGAGAGATCTAGACTCGCGGGGTGGACGCGGACTCGACAGTGGCAGCGCGGCGCGCCGCCGGGTTTTATAGGGCGCCGAGGCGGCCGCTCGAGCCATAAAAGGCAACTTTCGGAACGGCGAGCGCTGATTGGCTCCTCGCCGCTCACTCACCGGCCTCGCTGCACAGTGCAGCATTTTTTTTTTTACCCCCGGAAACTTAAAAAAAAAAAAAAAAAAAAAAAAAAAAAAAAAGGGAGAGAAAACGAGATTGAGGAAGAGGATGAAGAGTTTTGGCGTCGGGTGCTGACCCTTTAAGCTTGGACATATGCTCACTGTGGGTCCTGGTGACCAGACCTGCATTCTGGGGGTACCCACCCACCCCGGACCCTCTGGGTGTGAATGTCATGTGAACAGTGAGGACCCAGGTGGGCAAGGGTCAGCACGGAGGGCCCGGGGCCTGGTGGACACCGCCTGTTACTTGAGGGATATGTGGGCCCTGGATTTAATGGACAGGGAGCCAGTCTCCCTACCACCCCTTGCCCGCAGAAAGCCAGATCTGGGGGCGGTGGGGGAGGGGGTATCTCCCGGTGGGGTCCAACTTGCAAAGTGTGAGCTGGGACAACTCAACTTGAAGGCTGAAAGTGTGGTAGTTGGAGGAGCCAGGGGTCTTTGGTGGGTTTCTTAGCCACTTAGGGGGTCAGGGCCACACTCCCAGGGACTAGAGCATACCCCAGTGGTCCAGTGGCTAGAGGTGTTTAAGGAGTAAGTTCTGAAGTGTCCCCTGCCTGGGAAGGGCTTGTGCTCTATAGAGCAAGCAAAACTTATCACCGGAGTCAGGCTGTTCAGAAAGCTGACTGATCACACCCAGGCAAGGCCAAGCATGGGCCGTTAGCTGGTGGCTCTGGGTGACTGCCAGGAACTGTTGGGCTGCGCCCCCCCCCCCCCCCCATCCATCCTCTGTCATGTGCAGCCACAGCTCAACTGTGCTCCTAGTCCATCTGGAGGCTGTTAAGGACTCTAGGGAATGGCATAGTGCCCAGAGAGGAGATGGGGGCGGGGCCAGGGAGCTCCAAAGGCACTAGAGAAGACCCCCTGTTTGTCACCATGGGTCTACTTATCAAACTTCAAATAAAACCTAGGCAGCCAGGAATGTTCTGCTCTGGAAGCTACTGGACTGGTGCTTACACAGGGATGCGGGGGTCAGGGGGCTTGGGACTCAGAGGGGTGTCTGGCTTAGTTTAGAGGAACACACATCTCCTGGGAGAGGGTGACAGAAGGAGTTGCGTTTAGGCAAGAAGAAATAAGGCAAGGCTACTTCAGGTGGCTTTGCACACACACAGTAGGCACTCACAGAGTGTGGGTGTTGAAACCAAACCGAGGAAGGCTTCCTCCATATATGGAGTACAGCAGTGGCCCTGCACTGAGGAGGCTGAACCAGCTTCCCTATGCCAGGTTGGTAGCAGGGTGTTTTGAGGTTGCAGAGGCCACCAGCCAACTGGCAAGGGTGACACCCCCAACATGCACTGGAAACCCACCCCCCAGGCTCATAGCTACCCTTGAGTTCCCCCAGAAGAGATTAGACAAAATTCTTCCCCAGTCACCAACCCTGGGCCTGAGCAAACTTTCCCAGCCTGTCCACTCCCTGCCTCCCGGGGACAGGACTGCCCTGGCCATGGCCTTGTATCTGTTTTTCCCGAAGCTTGCCAACTGCCTCAGGACCTGCCAGCCCTGTAATTCACCAGTGGAAGTGGAGGAGAGCCAATGCTGCCAGTCAGTGAGGACTGCCAGGGGCATTCTCCAAGGGCTCTGATGGGGTGCAGGGGCAAGGTGCCACCCACCACCAGGAGTACAGGACAGGTTTAATCCTCTTGTGTGACTCCAGGCAGCTTCACCCTGGTAGGGGCAGACCAGATTCCCAGGCAGGACCTGTGTTGCCACTTTGTCCTCTTTTTCCTGGGGCCACTCAAGGGAGCAGGAATTCCAGCCCCACCTGACCTCAGGAACAATCCTGGCCTGTCCCTCTTGGTTCTGTGTTGTCTGCAGCAGACACTTCTACTGTTCTATGAAGTCTTCAGTTCCCTTCCCTGAAAGCCCTTCCTGATCTCAGAATCTACAACATAGAAAAGCACATGGCTGATTGTGTGTGTGTGTGTGTGTGTGTGTGCACATGCGTGTTTTCTTCTCTTTTTTTTGTTGTTGTATTTTGTTTAAGACAGGGTCTCAGGTAACCCAGGTTTATCTCAAACTTGATATGTAGCAAAGGCTGGCCCTGAATTCCTGATCCTCCCTTTTCTACCTCCTGAGTGCTGAGATTACAGGCATGTGCCACCACGCCCAGCTTCTCGGTTGTTTCAGTTTTGTTTTGTTTTTTTTTTTGAGACAGTGTTTCACTATGTATCCCAGACCAACCTCTAACTACTGATCTTCCTGCCTCAACTTCCTGCATAGCTGGGATGTTCTGACCAGTCATAATAACAGCACCCCCACCCCCACCCCATCCCTGAAACATAAAACAAGCCAGCCCTTTGAGGGTCTCCATCACCCACACTTCCTCCTACCACATACACCAAGGGGCTCTGTTAGTCCAATGAATAAGAGATTGCCTGCCTGTCCTCAGCCCTGGAGAGAACCTTGAGAAAATGGCTGGTCAGAAGGGGGCTGGGCAGTGAAATTGGGATGCTGGACAGAAGGAGCTAAGCAGAGAAAGCAGGGTGGGGGTGGCCAAGGAGAAGAGGAAGTGGAGGAAGGGGAGGATGAGGCAGAGGAAGTGAATCTGTTCTTCTACAGGGAACTTTGGCCCTCACAGAAAGAGATGTCACTCTCAGGCACCCAGCCTGGGCTAGCACAGTACCTTTAGCTCTGGTACATTTTTGTTTTCTTCTTAAACCATGGGTCCCACCCTGCAAGCCTGGAATCAAGAGATTATTTACAGCACAAACCAAAGCCCACCCTCCTGGTCCTCCTTTTACCAAGTCATCTACCACTTTGGTAACATTTAAGCCCTGCTGGCCAGTAAAGCCCTAAACTGCACTTTTCAGGAGAAAGAAATTGAGAAAGAGGGGAACTTCCTGCTGTAGGGGCAAGGGCTGTCTACAGGAGGGGCAGGGTCCCTGCAGGCAGTAGGACTTTAGTAAGGCACTAACTAAATGATGGAAGGAAGGGCCTGGAACAATCCAGAAAACACTCTCTTTTTACAGATGAGGAAACTGAGGACTGGCAAAGAGCTTAGTACCTTAAAATCTAGGGAGAACTCTGTACTCAGGGAGCCCCCTGAGGGGACAGCCAGGCCTCTGCCACACAACTCCTTGGGTAAAGAAGCTTCTAGAATGTCCGCAGGGATTAAGTCCAAGGATTGCTTCTAAGTTGGAATTCCAGGCCCCACCCTCTTCTTAGTACATATTTCTATTTCCTGGGGCCCAGAGAGGGCAAGCCACAGGCCCTAGTGGCTAGTAGCCACAGTGCTACTAAAGGCCCTCCCCAAACCTGCTGGTGGGGTCCCCCTTCCGTGTTTTCAAGATGACCCTGAGTCCTTTGGAGCTTTTAGAATATGGGGGTGAGGGGTGGGGTGTACATGAAGGTGGGGTTCCTCTATCACCAATTAACTTCATAGCCTTCAGGCCAGCTTCAGGCTGCCCTCTGCAGAGGGCAAATGATGTAGCTAAAATGACCCAGAAAAGGAATAGCCAGGGGCTGCACCATAAAGATCTTTTTTCCCTGAGCAGCTGTTAGGTTACACAGTACCTGCAGCCTACTATTAACACCCGGAGCAGGGAGGCATGGGAGAAGGATTCATCAGGCACTGTTTTGAGGAATAAAGCATGTGCTGAGATAGATCTCAAATAAGAGAACCCTAGCTAGTACCGGAAAGAAAGCAAAAGTTTCTACAGGGCTGGCAAGATGGCTCAGCAGGTAAGGGTGCTGCTTTCCACCAAGATTTAGGGCCTGAGTTCAATCCCCAGGGCCCACATAGTGGAAGGAGAGAACCAATTCCCAAAAGGTTGGCCTCTGAAATCTGGAAACTGTAGCACCCAGACCCCCATACACATACACACAAGTAAAATTCAAAGTATTTTGCAAAAGGTTTCTTTAAGGTTGGGCATAGGGGTGCACACCTTTGATCCCAGCACTTAGGAGGCAGAGGCAGATGAATCTCTGTGACTTCAAGGCTAGCCTGGTCTTCATAGTGAGTTCCGGGCCAGCCAGTCCTATGTATTTAGACCCTGTCTCAAACAAACAACAAAAAAGGGGTGTGTGGTAAGGGGTGAGTTTTTTTGTTTTTGTTTTTGTTTAATTATATATATTTATGTGTGTGCACACAACCGTACTCCTGTGAAAGAGGACAATTTCAAAAATTACTTTTCTCCTTCTACCATGTGGTTACCAAGAATCAAATTCAGGTCCAATTTCAGGCTTGGCCTAGGTCATTAGGCCAAATCCCTTAACCTGCTGAGCCATCTCATGGCCCCCACCTTTTTTTGAGTCAAGGTCTTACTATGTAGCCCTGGCTGGTCTGACACTTGCTATGTAGACCAGCTGGCTTTAGACTCACATACATCCATGTGCCTCTGCCTCCTAAGGCCACCACACCTGGCTCACCACCGATCATTTTGTCTGTTCTAAGAGTCTCACAGACTCTTCATTCAGCTCAGGCTGGCTTTGAATTCCTGATCTTCCTGTCTGCATCTCCCAAGAGTTAGGATGATAGGTATGTGCCACCATTCCTAGCTTTTATCTTTGTTGGGTAAAGATTTATTTTGTGACCAGCGAGGTCAGAAGAGAGCACCCTAATCCCCTAGAACTGCAGTTACAGGAGGTCATGAATCACCATGTGGGTGCTAGAAGTCAGACTTGGGTCCTCTGCAAGAGCAGTCGCTGCTCTTAACCACTGAGCCATCTCTTCAGCTCCTTTAAAAAAAAATTTATTTATGTGTATGAGCATATTGCTTGCATGTGTATAAGTATACCAGTGCTGTACAGTGCCCTCAGAGATCAGAGGAGGGCATCAGATCCCCCTGGACCTGGAGTTATGGACGGATTGTTAGCTACCATGTGGGTGCTGGGTATCGAACCCAGGTCCTCTACAAGAGCAGCAAGTGCTCTTAACCACTAAGCCATCTTT